GGTCCCCCACAGGAATTTGTGCTATTCAGTAGAAAATACAAAAGGAAGGGTTGTAAACACTCTGATTAGTGTTGGAGCACAGAGACATTGTCTCTGCACTATATTACATAACCACGCAACTTCCAATTTACCTCCTCTCCTGCAGAAGAAACAGCTTAACAGCAAGCGCTTAGTTGTGTATTTAACTTAACATCACGGCTAATGGTGTTTTTTTGTTATACAAAGGCTGTGTTGTTTCTGGCAAAAGAAGAGAGAAAGGTTACTTCAGTAACATCCCGTAGTAATTTGAGACGATTGCCTGTGAGGATCTCCACTTGAAGTGACGGTTGCCAGAGGCTCTTGCTTGGAAGAATAAGTATTATCAGAGGCTGTTGCCAACACAAGTTCATGCACAATGGGCCCATCAGCTAATGAACCCAGAATGAATCTTCTCCCATTTTCTGAATAAGACAAACAAGTGATTGTGTGCAGTGCTGACTATACCAATTTACTGCCATGTGAAATGCATTTGGATGACTTCTGACTTAAAAAACTCATTGTGGTCTGAGGCCTACTTAGACTGAGGCACTTTCTTAAACATTCACTTGTAAATTCTTACTGCTTTAACAACAAAGTCAAGCAAAGATTCCGAGGTGGCAAGGTCTCTCCTTTGAAATTCAGTTTGCTGATGTACCTGAGCCTCATAAATATAATAAAGTAATAATGGAAGGGAGCTTTAGAAAGCAATTTGTTGGAAAAAAAGGGGAAAAAGGCAAAACTGTATTAATGACTTAATTCCTTCCCATTCCCTGTCAGTTATACTACTACTTCAACAAAACCAGTACTGGGGGTGAGTTTGTCTTGGAGAGATGGGTGTCTACATGGGCTGTACTATTCTAGGATAGCTTTAGATACACTACATAAGTCTCATTAGCAGTAAAGGAATACACAGCAGTCACAAAGATGTGTAGTTTATGAAAGAAACTGGTTGGCCACATACAGAAACACAGGTGCAAAACAATGAGAACCTGAATATAAAAAGGAAAGGCTAGAAGAAGCAGATTAGTTAATGCCTTTGGGGGAAAACATATGTTATTTGTAAGAAGTACCACACAGCAGAAGAGAGCCAGAAGAGCTGTATAACACTGAACTCCGCCTATACAACTCCGGTAAGCACTATGGAGTCACACCATTCTAAGAAGAAAGAAGTAAAGTTCTTTCTAAAGTAAAAATTCCAAGAAAGAAAGAAGAAAATTTGAAAGTACTTAAGCAATTAAGAAGATACAAGAAAACTTGTCTTGTAAGATTTTGGCAGCCTTACATCTTAAATTTGTCTGAAAGACTTGCTTTGTTCCTTGCAATGCTTTCTATCCAATTATGTTTTGCTATGCGAGTAGCACAAAGTTTAATGATGTACTGCTTGGTGAAAGAGGTCATGCCAAGAGCATGTGGCACATCTTGGTAAAGCTTCTTTTGCAAAACCCAACAGACATTGTGATCAGCAATATGTTACATTATGGGATCAACGCTCCTCTCCATGAGCAGGAAGGAATGCAATGGCACAGTGGCAGGTGGGGGAACCTCAATACGGTACCCAGAGAAACGAGCCCCTCCCAGGGCTGTCCCATGACAGCCGTGACTGTGAGTTACGGGGGTTACTGCCTACCGGACAGTCCCCTCCTGGGATGTAAAGGAAGAGCAGTTTGGGATGGCACAAGACCTATTACAGAATTTGTAGCAGAAGGACCAAAGGCAGAGAAAGGAAGGGATCAAGGTTGCTTGGGGAGGGACAAAGAGGGAGAAAACGAGGGATAAGATTATAAAAGGGACTGGCCAGCTGTAAACAGGTTGGTGGTCAGTACACTTGTCTGGCCATGCCCTGCAGGTACCTCATCACCACGGTCTCTCCTGTCTTCTCATTAAACTCTTCTGCTGGGTGAGGGGGTCTCTCTGCTGTGTGCATGGAGGTGTGCCAGCCACTGGAGAGGGGACCACGAGTCACAGGGGCCTGACTTTCTTGGGTGCCTGTGGCTGGAGAGACCGGAGCATGTGCGTATTGTGTGGGACTGTTCATCAGTGTGCAGTCGCCAGCAAACGTCAAGCCAGACCAGCCAGCCAGCAGGATGGGAGGCTTGGGAGATAGGTATCAAAGTAGCCATAATTTTGGGATGGATACTGGGGAGACCATAGACACATTATTAGAGATACAAGCAGGTGTTCTTACATTCATTTTTAAATACTAGTTGTGAAATACATTGAATGTACTAAAAGCAAGCCAGGAACCCTAAGAAATGCCAGGAAAGCAATGTCACGTTATGGCCTTTGTACTCACTCTCTCTGCATGGTGTCAATGCTTCTGAAATTTAGGAGCAACAAGTGCCTGTGGGGAGAAACACACAAACGAAAACCCAAACAAAAACCAAAGCAACTAAACATAAACCTTCCATACTTTTAGAGAAAGAATAACAAAAGACCTTCAACCCCTTCTCAGTCAGAACACCAACAGACTAGGCATTTGTATAATTTCTTATTCTGAAAATTTCCTTTTTTGCTTCCATTTAAGTTCAGTGATCTCTCCCAAAGGACAGTGACAAAACTGTCTGATGCTTTACCTGGAGAAGATGCATAGCTAGAAAAGCTTTTAAAACCTGTTCTTAAGTATTCTAAAGCACTTGCTTAGGTGATGGTTTGCTGGTATCCAGACATGGATGAAATAAAAGCCCCCAAAATTATTTTTCTTGCTAAATGAGTATGACTAAATAAACAAATTTCCAAAATGGTTAGATTTGTCAGAAAGAACATTTTGAGTATTGATAAAGTTCTATTTTATTAATTTATGTAAAGAAAAAAAACCTCAAAACTACAATTTTAGTTTTGGAAAAAAACTGCTGAAGAGTTAATTCTCTGTATTATTCCATCCGTATACATCAGTAACTTTTATAGTATGCTTCCTGGTAACATTTCCCTGAGAAAATCTTGAGAAAGAAAACACAAGAACGAGTATTGTCTTTTTATTAAAATACTTCTTAGAACACTCATCGTAATAAAATACATTGGATATTGCTGTAGGACATTTGCATGCACACAATGCTTACAGCAAACTCAAGACAGCATCAGGAATTACAAAAAATAAGGCAAGCCCCAGAAAGTGTGCATCCTTGGTACCTACTCTCAGGCCATTATACAGACAACTGTGTTTACATTTTTATGCCGTTCACCACAGTGTTTCCTGGACATCTGTTGGGCCAGTCCCCCCGTCTGCCCCGCTCCCCAACCTTGACCTGACAGTGAAATCCTGACGATGTAAATGGAGACGGTGTCACAGATCCATGGGGCAGCAGGTGCCTGACCAGAAACATCAGCCCTGTTTTTCCCTCAAGAAGATTCTGAATTACCATAATGTTTCCAATAATTTAACATTGTAAGAATCTGAAGCATGCTAATAACCTGAAGCAGTGCTTACTGGGTGTCTCCCATCTTAGTCAAGAACGACGATGCATCACCCTCCAGCTAGAAACAGTCACAGCTACTCTAACATATTCGTTCTCTCCTTTCGTTTTAAGAAACTCAAGCAGAAGAAAAGATAATGGGAATTGTCACAGAAAGAACAACTGCTTCATGATAAGCTAAGTTTTTCTATTCACATCCTGGTTTTTTTATAACTTAATTAAAAGTTTGAAGTATGAAGGTATTCCATTATCCACTAGTTCAAAACAATAAACATTCACCTTTCAAGTTCTTCTTTTAGCTGAAAGAGACTGAAGAAATTAACATTATTTCACAAGAGTAGATTTTTTTATTATTATTATTTAATCTTATTGAGAGAACTGTGTCATGAGAAAAAATGAAAAAACTATTCATGCAAACTTTTCAACAAAATAAATTTAAAATGACTGCTTTCATTTGTACACGGTACAGATACACAGGTGTGACTAGAAAACAGTTTAATCCTCTAGACTGAGGTTAGTGAAACATGAATAGTCAAATTCTTTTTTTGTGTGTGCATACGCATATATGCATTAAAAAAAAAAGATCAAGGAGTTAAAACCCACATCTTTATAAATACCAAAAGGTGATCATTAACACTTTATTCTTGTACTTAGTACCATTATCAATGGAGATGTAACTGGGTCATAGTAACTACTATGTAACTGTTAACATATTAAAACTCTTCCTTAGAAAAATGGACAATGTTCTAAACTCTGAACATCCTAATTTTGCCTTTGTGGACACATCTTCCCTTCTTTGGTGACAACATTTCATGGGGGAAAAAAAAAGAATTATGAATATTCACAGCAAACTACTAAATTGGAACATGCCTGATGCCAACTGCTCAACTGGTAACCCTGTACCACTTGCTAGTTCATGTTGCTTCATTCTTCTTTATTAATTTAGCCATTAAATCCATAATAACCTTTCATGTTTCTTTTACTGAACTGAACGTTCAGGGAGTAAGCAACCCTAGAGAACAGTGCAAAAGGAGGGAGATGCAACTGCACTTAACAGCTTTATTTTGATATCTAAGAGAAGACTGAAAAGATTTTTTTTTTTAATATATAAATTACACAACACAGGCCCCAACGTACTTATGAGTGCAGGGCAAATGAAACTTGGAAGAAAAGTGTCCCATACATAGTGTTTTGTTGGGCAGCCCTTCTAAGAAGTTAGGATTTTATCCATGACAGCCCATGAATTGAACTTGAAGAGAAAGCATGAATTTTTCCTTTTCCCCAAATACCATTTTCACAATAGAAGGCTAAACTCAAAAACTGGAAGGTAATAAAGTAAAAAAAACAAAAAACAAAAAACCAAACAAACAAAAAAAAAACACCCCAAAAAAACAAAACAAGAAACTAAAACAAAAAAAGCAGCTCCTAAAGAACAACCACCCCCCCCCTCCAACCTATCAGCCATTTAGTTATTTGTTGAACTTAGATGATGGGAATCTCATTACATATTCTTAAGGTTTCCCTACTCTAAACTACTACATATAGTACTACATTTTGATAAACCAGTATAGTCAATGCTTTCAAATGAAAGGAAAACAGGCAAGGATGAGCACGGCTGTACCATTCGAGCAGAAATAAAGAAAAATAAACTTAAAACATAGTGTTGAAACTTCTACTAGTTAGCCTTGCTTACATGAATTTAAAAAAACAAAACAAAAGTTTTCAGATTTTATACATCTTTTTTCAATCAGATACATTTAATTGCAACCAGTAGGCACTCTACCAAAACACAGTATTTGCAATCTTCATCTCTTTAACTGAGAGAGATTACTTTGGCCTCAGTATTGCTATATTACAATTTTCCTGCTTCAAAACATGCAGTTCATACATTTTACAGTTTTACTGCCATAATCGATGCATTCTGGCCCAATACACTCACAGCAGGCGTTGTGAAACCATCGGTATTTGGATGCTCCCATGGACTCGCAAGAGATCTTGCACTGATGTATTGACATGCAGTCATCAAAATACACCACAGTACACATGTGTTCTAAACCAAAAGGGGGAAAAATTTTGGTTTAAAAGGTCTTAAAATATTTTTAAAGGTTAGTTAAAAATTAATTAAATGTGCAGCTTTTGAAGTAGGATTGCAAATCATCATGACAATGAGGCATAAAGAAAAAACAGGTGATAGTGAAAGCAGAGAGAGGAGACAGACCCAAGGTGTGATCTATCAAGTTCCAAGTTTTCAGGATCTACAACTCAACCTGTTGTCTGCTCTCCCGCTGGATTAATTTATTTCTATAGTCACAGGCAAGAATGTTTTTGTTGCGTTTTTTTTTTTTGTTTGTTTCCCACCGTTATCAGGGATACCTTTTAAAGTGTAAGGATGGGCTCTACCAAAATAAAAGGCAAGCATGTGTCCTCTGAAGACAATACCTTTATCACCAAGATATCACTTTCACAGTTGCCAGCAGTTACTATATGCTATCATTAAAAAGATCAGTTTTAGAGAAGTTATTTAAAAAAAACACCAAAACCCACTAATTTAAGTGTAAACATTTCCTCCCTCCACACCTCAACAATATTCTTAAACTGCATTAAATCACAGAGGTAGAGAATCCCATTTTCCTCAACTTGAAACTGCACACTTTTTTCTTCTTTTTATAGCAACAACACCAGCTTTACTACTAAGATTAAGAGACCCCATTTTGACTAAGCGTCAACTTTATTCTTTTAACATCTGTGCAGTTTCTTGAAACGCCATGAAGTTTGGTGCTGCAACCTCAAACTGGAGCTGAAGCATTCACAACTATAAAACAAAAGCATCCCTACCCAGTCTACCTACAGTTCTCCAAGCTGACAGATTCTACCAACTTTCTTCTGCGCCGACCAGGTGATTCCACCGTAACTTTGTACATCCTCCAAAGGATTTTGATTGCATCACATTTACCCCTAACAAAACTGAGCAAACTTTGGGGAAAGCACAACCAAAAGCTGTCTGCAAACATGAATGTCTCACTTGTACTCATCAGACAGATTTGTGAGTGGGAGATGTCAAGGGGCTTTCTAGCCCATTACTGCTTATAGCACATGGATCCAGGAGAAACATACTGACCTACGTTCCAACGTGGATTAGAAAAATGTAATCCAAATGTAATTGGGAAGTCAAGACAATGGGTTTTTTTTTTTATTATTATGGAGATATGGAGAAGTAACCAAAGGACACTTGGAGAAGTGTAGCATTTATTCTGTCTCTTATCTGTGATTAAGTCTTGAAAGGCTGAAGTGCACCAGAACCTCCCTTTAAAAATATTGATGCCCCATAGAGTAGCAACCTCAGTAGTATGCATATCTCATGGCAAGCTCCTAAGGTGAGGTCCAAAGGTGATTTGAGGCCAGCAAGGATCTCCATCATCCTACAAGCCATCAGATCTATGCAGTCAGTTTCCCCAGAAGCAACAATAGATGATCTCTGTGGACATGTGGCAAGGGACAGCACAACACAGAGGAGAGTACAATGTACTTGCCAGCTTTTCTGTGGATGTGTCCTCCTCCTTGGCATCTGGAAATCCTGCCTACCCTTTTACGAATTATCATTTGTCGAAACATATATGAGGGAACCCTGATCACTAACAAACTATTTTACTGCTACCTAAACAGCTGCAAGAGGGTCACAGGTCATGCTGCCAGCCTACTGAAAGCAAGAGAGCATTAACTTCCTTGTTCAGGCTCTGAACTGATGTATGCTTCTTGCACACACCATATACAGTGCAACAGGCAATAAGGATCTTGGGGAGGAAGTGCAGACCCACAGCTGAAGCAGTTTTCTGCTCCCAGCAAAGCTGTGCTGTGAGGAAGGCTGCAGTTGTCCAAGAAATTTTAGAGTACCTGAAGTACTCCTGGGAATGTCAACAAAATACACTGTGGCTATGTGAGTCCTGTTGCATTCTTGGCACTTTTACTTCCATGACCCTTTATAGTAAAGCCTGAGGCACAGCAACCAGAGGAAGAGTCCTCAGAGAACAAAACCTCTGCCTAAAACCAACCAACCTTATCTATAGCTTTAGTAATGATACTTTTTTCACAGAGGGGAGAGGAGAAGACCAAAACAGAAGCATGTGCTACAGTAGCACCAGCAAAGAGTGACCAGCCAAGAGTGACCTGAAGTGCTCAGCCAAAGCTGAAAAGCAGTAGGGAGACGCAGCCACCACAGCCTCATAGGCAATAATCCATGTAGGTGCCATACAGAAGCGACATGGAGAACACAAAAGGAATAGACAACATTTCATCACCAGCAACAAAAACCCAAGATTTCCTGCGTCCCAAGAAGGAGCATATACCACCCATTCCCAGGTATCTGTCCCCCTCATTCTTCACAAGGGTTTTTCAGTGAAAGAGTAGGGTGTGAGAAAGTAGAGGTGAGTCTCCAGGCAGTGTTTGTCATGAGATCTAAGCACCAGTGTCCCATCAGTCATCCAGTTCAGTGCTGGTGTGCAAGTACAGGAACCTTACAAAAGCCTCTCTTAAGAAGTATTCTTACTCTTCTTACCCTCTTAATCCCAGTTCACTCCTTTTATACCTTTCTAGTAATTTTCTTGTCAACTTTGACCTTAAATGCCATAAGAAAGGTCAGTCTTAGAAGGTGTCAGCTCAAGGCCTCTGCCCCAAAACAGGCAATCCTAGCTAATCCAGAAAATTTTCTTGCTGCAAAATCAGCTTTTGAGATGCCATCTCCACCTGACAGACCTAGACTCCAGATCAGCTTGAGAGGCAAAACAAGCCATGGCTCTGTCTAGATAGTAGTGGAACAACCCTTTAAAGAAACCAGAGTCCTCTCCAAAGGTTGGCCAGAAGTGCTTGCTGCTATCACGTTGATCACTGCTTGCAACATGCAAAGGAAAGCCTACAGCAGGTCAGGAAAGCTTGTCAGGAAAGCTCTGCACACTCTGAAGTGGGTTAGCCGCTCCCAGCACTTGCAGGCTGTCTTCACACCAGAGAGTGACCAGTCCCCTCTGTGTTAGGAGACATCTATGTTCACCTCCATGTTAACCTCATCTGTATTAGTACCAGTTCAGAAGTCCTGAAGAAGCCCAGTTCATCAGCTCATGCCTGCTTGAACCTCTTGTGGAAGAAGAGCATAAATATCAATGACACTGAACTGAGAGATTGATGGCGTCTCCTGGGGGGAAGGAGGCCGGAGGATGAGCAGCACCAGGCCCATAACCCTGGCAAAACCAGATGACGGCAGTCAGGTCCTGTGAGACTAGAGACTGCTCTCATTGACCACTCTTCCCAGGATCAAAATGGGAACCAAAGCCAGACCTCAACTGTGGCAGCAACAACCAAGGACATTAATCTTGACTGACTGAAGAGTGGAGAAAAAAGTTTATTTCCACTTGCACACAAGCCAAGAGGATTAGGTCCTACACTACGAGTCCAAAAATGCTGCAAATGGGAGAAGACAGACTGTACCTGGCAAGCCAGAGCCAGCAGTAGATCTGGCTGGCTCCCAGTAGCTCTTGTAAGCAGCTGGAGAACACGCTCCATTGTGTATGCTATCAAACCATTTCTGAAGTCTCACTTACTCAGAGACTTTCCAGGTCTGAACGAGTCAGATTGGCCAGGGTGCACTTTGCTCATCACGGGACACTCCTCAGCAGCATCTGTGTGCCTGCATGGAGGCTGAATTACTGAAAGCAGGAGAGTTCCTCGCCTCAAGCATTAAATCTCTCTTTATAGGCTGCAGAAACAGTGTTACACAGGGGAAAAAAATACATACCTACAGGCTCAGTGGGGATCTGAAAGAGTATTTAAATTGTTTCACAAACATAATTACATAGTCATCACTTGGCTCCCTCAGTGTAGATGAAAAGGATGTCACTTGGAGCAGTAGCAGCTCTTTCATTCGCATTTTGACAATTTTCACACAGTAAGGACTACAGACTACAGGTGCAGAGAGGGCGAAGGATGCAGCAGCATTCTTTTTTTTCCAGAACATCAGCTTCTCATCTTTTTTTCCACCCAATTCATACTCAACAAAGGTTGTGTAGGAGAAACAACAATCAAGTCTAAATTCAAAGTGACCAGAAGAAATGGACTCACATTTCTGTCAGGCTTTGCTATGATACAGTCTGTGTTGCAAGTATTGGTGCACTACAGAGGAATTTAGCAACTTGGAGAAGATGAAACAATTCAGTTCTTGTAAGTTAAGGAAAACGCCTATCTACAAGATGAAAAAACTTTCCCAGTTAATGACAATTCCCTGTACGACACCTTTGAAGTTAAAGGTGCTACGTAAGTTCAGTTGTCTGATGGTCTGTTTATCAGTAGTTCTAAAAGTACTTTAAAAGGTAACTGACAATTCAGCAGCCATACCATTTTATGCCCATTAGAACTTATAAAAAGAAACATTAAAAAAAAAATCTTCCTAGAGTACCTACAGAGAGGTAGATGCCACTTTACTGGATTTCTAGCTCTTGTCTAGCTGACTGGCACTGCAGGGGAGCAGAAGCAGAAGAGCGGATGCTATCCCCTGTGTCACCAAGCACTGTAAATCAGAAACCCTTAACTAAGAACACAGGTTTTGTTTCATCAGTTGCCAAAAGATTATCTAGTTCCCTTCTCTCTCTCGCCAACATCCTGTCATCATCTGAAACAATTAAGCTTATTTAAACATGTGAACTTGCAGTTCAGAGCTCTGAGGGTATCAGCTAAAAGTAAAGCAAAAAGAATAAAGTATAAAAGTAGCTCTAGATTAATAATCTTCACAATCCTCTCTGAAGTAGCAGCTCAAATACCAGAAACTAATGATACAAAGAACTGCAGCAGCTCCAGCAGCGCACGCATACTTTGGCAGCTAGAATGTTAAAAGTCAATTCACAGGAGGAAAGGGAAGGCACTCATTAAGATAATAATGGGGAAGTTCAAGGTCTGGCGGCTGGGCTCCCAGTAGGCTGGGGCGAGAAAGGAATGCTTTATATCCCACCGCACCCCACCTCCTCCCGGATCTACAGCCGCCCTCCCGGGGCCGGTGGCTTCACGCCACTCAGGCAGAAAGCTCCGAGTTCCTGTGGCTGGTGCTGCTTTTCCTGGCACTCACCCAGAACTGCATCAAGCAAGTCTGGCACTCTGGTCCAGCTTAATGGTGATCCCTGCGTGAATGCGTGTCGAAATTAAAATCAGAACTGTGTTACATGGTGTGACACAGAGTATTTATAGGCAAAGCCTTTCCAAATTTTGTAACGTATTGCAGAATACAGCACAGAGACTACTTTTCCCTTACCAAAATCTACCTCTCCTTAGCCCCCTTCCTTTTACAGGCAACGAAAGAAATAGGCTGCTGCCAGCAGACCATGTTGGAGTGAAGCATGCAAGGAGCCACAGAAGTACCACAAAACGGAGGAGGCACAGTGGTGTAAAGAAACCATAAAGCATCTGTGCTCCTTCTCACAGGAATATTCTTTCAAATCCCTGACTGCTACTGTCTCGAAGACAACTGCTTAGCAAGTCACCTGAAGGACATCTTCATTTGCAAGATCTGCCCTTAAGCCTAGCAGCATGTTTGAGCAGAAGGAAAGGGTAAAGAGATGAGGGTCTCCAGCTTCTTCCACTGCAGGCTAAGCTTATATTTACTGCAACTGAGCACACACACAGACACACGCACAGACCCACCCTCTACTACAGTGGTTCTTCTAACACATGCTAGCTTGTTAAATCACAGTGACTTGATTGTGACTGAACTTAGCATGGGCAGAACCCATCAGACTCCAGCAACTTCCTGAGCTCCCTCTGTGCATGTGCTCACAAGGCTCTTTAGCCCTTGACCTACTACCCCCTCCACCTTTTGGTTACTGCTTCCCCAATGAACTCATCAAAAAAAGTATTGAAAAAAATGCCATCCCATGGCTCACACAACATTCACCACAAGAGGTGCAATTCCCCAGTTGTCCTTGCTTCCACTATGATAAACATCAACTGACTGAGGCCAGCAGCCAACTTTTCTTTACACCTTCTGTTCTCAATGCTCAAATCATCCCATGTTTTTATAAGCAAACTTTAATATGACTTCTTAAAGAGCAGAGCGCTATCAAAGTTATCTGCATTGTGACAAAGAAAAGAGAGACTCCTCAACAGGCTTACATATTTAGATACTTCAAGTATAGGATGTTGAAAGCCATCTTCTACCTTTCCCAATTCTTCACTGATCACTGAGATGGATGAGGCCCAGCTAGTGCTTACAAGAACAGCTCTGACATTTATTTCTGTTCCAAGTGTCTACTGAAGCCTGAAAACCAGTGGCATTTGGTAATTTCCAAATATAAGTGTTGTTTTCGTGCCATTACCATTCCAGTGAAAGCTCTCTCAACCTAATCTTTTATACGTTCTTACTAAATGAAATGAAGGAGACTTTTGACTAAGAAAAAAATTGCAGTGTTATGTATTTAGAATCACAGAAAGGTTGAAAAAGACCTTTAAGATCATTGAGTCCAACCATAAACCTAACACTGTCAAGTCCACCGCTAAACCACATCCCTAAGTGCCATAGTACACCTCTTTTAAATACCTCCAGGGATGGTGACTCAGCCACTTCCCTGGGCAACCTGTTCCACTGCTTGACAACCCTTTCAGTGAAGCCATTTTTCCTAATATCCAGTCTAAACCTCCCCAGTGCAACTTGAGGCCGTTTCCTCTCATCCTATCATGTGTTACTTGGGAAAAAGAGACTGACACCCACCTCACTACAATCTCCTTTCAGGTAGTTGTAGAGAGCAATAAGGTCTCCCCTCAGTCTCCTTTTCTCCAGACTAAGCAACCCCAGTTCCCTCAGCTCCTCATAAGACTTGTTTTCCAGACCTTTCACCAGCTTCATCACTCTTCTTTATGCGCTCCAGCACCTCAACATCTTTCTTGTAGTGAGGGGCCCAAAACTGAGGTGCGGCCTTACCGGTGCCAACTATAGGGAGACGACCACTTCCCTAGTCCTGCTGTATTGGCGGTTTTGTTTTCTTTTTTTTTTTGTCTGTGTTGGTAAACTCAAAATTCCTCCATACCCCTGAGATGCAATTCAAATTCCAAGTTTAATCCAAAACTAACATTAGCCCATCCTGTTGGTATAGTAGCAAAGGACTGTCAGCAAACAGCCATCTGGGCTGCAGTACCTAAGTACAGTGGGATATATTCAAGATTGTTCCACGCACAATTTTTTTTTCCAAGTATAATTTACATCTTTAAATACCATAGTGTTTGCACACAGGGCTTTTTGTGGCTTGCCATTTAACATGGCTTTCTGTATCATTCTCATAATGGCGAGCAAGTGTTTTAATAACATCAAAGACATATGAATGAGATGCTTTCTGACCATCTGGTTTCCCAGTTCTGGAATTAATTTATTTTTCTAACGTGCTTTAACCAAAGGAAATTAGAAAAGCTGCCATTATGGTCCCATTTAATCAACAGCAGTCCTACTCAGAAACATAACTAGGTCAAAGGTTCACAATGGTATGGAAAAGGAGCATGTCCATTAATTAGGGTATCTTTAATTGATAAAGATAATAACAGAGCCATCACAACAGGAACATATGGGGTTACTAATATTTAAAGTGTGTGTTGGGAAGGAAGCAAAGCATTAATTACACTAATAAAACAAATCAGATGCTCTTTTTTCCCTGTTAAGCAGCAATTTCACTGTGAACTGTTTATGAGATTCTTTCAAGTCTGATGTAATGATGTGCAGGGAAAAGTATTCCAGGTTTGGTACGGAAACCAAGAAGCACAGTATTTTTCTTATACCACTGTTGTCACTACCTCAAACTTCTCATATTCCCCCCCCCCCCCCCCAAAAAAATA